TTTGCCCATGCAAAACTGGTTGCCAAGAAGTTCTGAATGTTTTTAGCCCAAGTCAAAAGAGCCTAAGTATCTATGATTTTCTGGTTATGACTCAGTTCCAGAAAAGGTTTTAAAAAATATAAATATACATAAATAAGTTAAATTGAAAGAAAATCTGAGTACATTTCCTTAAAGGAAAAATATGTTAGGTAAACATAAAAATATGTTTATTGTCTCCCAAAAGAAAGAATCGATTCAGATCTGCCAAAACGAGTCATTGTGGTCTTTATTGGCTGCCAGCGAACAACATCTACTTTGATCCGCCCTTAAACGCTGTAGCTGGTCCGTGTTGTGTACATGTCGAGAAGACTCTGTTTTCTGAGCTGCGAAAGCAAATTCTCTTTGTAAACACTTCCAAAGAATGATGATGTGAAGGGTTGATGGTTAAAATTACCACAGCGATACAACAGCAGTATTAACCTTTTGTTGCGTTCCTGTCATTTTACTGACGATTGCTTCTTAAAAGTCGCCAAGGTCAAAAACACTTATCCATTAAAGATGAGTCAGTACCCACTGGACCAATTTGCTCCTCAGAATCACAACCTTTAAGTATGATTAATTATTGATGTATACTGTGTTTCTACCGGGTGTTCAAAATACATAGTTTTGTGTTTTATATTGTGTAGGTCTCCGGCTAACTCACGTTATTACTGTCTTACTGAAATAGTTCTGCTAATCAGATGTGGGGCACTATTACCTAAAATGGTGCAGATTGTCTGTCATTCTTACTACTTTGAGTAAAGATAAAGAATGGCGCAAGATATGTTTTACAAACTTTATTGTTACATCTGTCATTCATGTTAGTGCTCGGCTAATGCGCTGTTATTGATACAGTTATTGATACAGTTATCACATGTGCACCGCAATAAATTAGAAATATACACATCGGTTTGTTGATCGACATTCGATTGTTAGTGCTGATGTAGAGGAGACCTCAAACTGAATAAGAACTTGCCACTGAGAAATGCCCTGCACAAGTCGCACTTGAGTGGGAGGTTCGGGTTAAATCGTTCTTTCAATGTTTCATCATCAGACACACGCTCAAATTGATTTGGTAATAGCATCCTTACTGAGTTCACAGTGTGCACAATCGCTGAAGATTTAGGAAGCCTGCGGCGCAGGGTGTTTAGTTTCCGACACGTTGTAAGCAGTAGACCAATCACAGCAGGCTGGGCCATCTGACCAATCAGAGCAGAGTAGGCTGTCGGAAAGGCGGGGCTTAGAGAGACTGAATCTTTGAACGAGTCGTGCTGCAATGAACATTAAGAAAATAAAATTGGTTTTTGACCTCTAATGCATGTAAACACTTCAATACAAATACAATACAAGTTTAATACAAAACACTTTTGTAGGAGACCTCCAAAAAAAAAAAAGAATTAGGAAGCTTTTTAAAGGTTTCCGAGAGCCAACTCTGCTCTGATTGGTCAGATGGCCCAGTCTGTTGTGACTGGTCTACCACTTACAGTGCATGTCAGAAATAATACGCCCATTACCATCTGAATTTCACATCTGGAGGCCTTCTCTGCATTTGTAAACACAGTGATACAAACAGCAACAGTGTCTTTTTTTTTTCTGTATCAATTCAAGCGTGAGTCCCTCATCCTTTGGAAGCGTATGCAAAGTGGATTTGCATCTCTGGAGAGCGACTTCTTGACATGTCGACAACACAAACCAAACTCTCCCAGGCCTCAGCTACATCTACATTGTTTGAGGGCGGGTCAAAGTAGACGCTGTTTGCAGGCAGCCAATAAAAACCATAGGCTGGCATTATGCAAATTTGTTACAAACCTATGTAGGATCATGCAGGAAATATGACTGGAATTACTGTCGACTTATTTTAAGCAGTTCAGAATCCATTCTTCCTTTTGGGAGACAATAAATGTATTTATCCTGCTCTTTGATCTTTGAAACTTCGGAGTCATTTTACATTCACAAAAAAAACTACATTACACACTTCATGAAAGGTAATATCTGAAAAAGCATAATGGGACACTTTAAAGGGATAGTTCACTTTGAAATTAATTTTTGATATGTTTTAGCTTACCTCAAGGGCATCCGAGATGTAGGTGTCTTTGTTTCCGCAGTAGTTTCAATTTTGAAATACACGAAACGAGCGGTTTGTGTGAGAAAACGAACAGTATTTATATCGTTTTTACCTCTTGTAACCCACAGACCGAAGCGCCGGCGCCCTCAGATCACTTGGACGTGCCTGTGTTTACAAGAGGTAAAAACGATATAAATACTGTTCGTTTTCTCACACAAACCGCTCGTTTCGTGTCTTAGGCCATCAATGTGTACTTACATTTACAAGTCATTAAATCATGTTTAATTTGGACTTCTCTGTGCATGCTCTTTAAGGAAGTGACCATAGACCTGCATTATATGACTGACAGACAAGAACGGTTTGACCTAAAAATATCAAAATTGAAACTACTGCGGAAACAAAGACACCTACATCTTGGATGCCCTTGAGGTAAGCTAAAACATATCAAAAATTAATTTCAAAGTGAACTATCCCTTTAATGCTCTAAAATCATGTGTTTTTATTAAAAGATCACAGAAAATAGAAGGCTATTGAGGCTTACAATGTATACACATTAAACATTGGGAGCACTGGAATGTTTCAAAATCATGAAAATGTCTTTTTTTTATATATATGGGTAGTTCTATGTTTCATCTCCAGGGTTTTAACAAGGATCTTAACAGCTAAATGCACTTTTCTCATCTTTGTTAGCCCTTCACAACAACAGGATAAAGCATTTGCCCTTTGGGGTGTCTCTGGGGATCGGGTTAATTGCAGCACAATAGGAGTGTGAACTATTGATTATCGGTCCAATGTTGCATGTAACTTCATTCAGCTTCATTAAAGGATCATTACTAAGACAGTGTAAAAGCAGGTCATCAATGGTCACATCAACCTTTAGTTTTTGCAGTGCATATACTGTACACGTGTGTCAGCCTGTGCCAGTGCTGAGACTTTATTACAAACATTTCGGCCTTAGAAAACTGTCTGAGGAACAGCATATCTGAACCACCACAATGCATTTCAATAAAGCCTCTTTAATGCATTCAGAGGGAAACGTCGACTGGTTCTCCTCTAATAACACACTTCTGTAATGGAGTTTGGTGGATTATGGGATTTAGAGTGCACTGACCCTCATGTGAATATTACACAATTATCCTCAGTTGAGAAGATTCCCGTAATCTAATGACAACGTTAAATGAGCTCCCACGTGTCCTTTCTGCACTACATGCGACAACTTTAAAAACGTACATTTTAGTTGAACAAGATACTGATGAGTAACATAGTTTAGTTATAAGAGGCACATTCAGAATGAAAATGAAGGAATAACAGTCGGTCGTGCCTTTACAAAGGCAACGATTTTTGGATAGAAAATGTCCAAAAACTACTAGAACAATGTAATCTATTTTGTTGTCTTGTGTATTTGCATTCTTCCAAATGATTCCAACAATGTTTAAATCCATGCCATTCAGCAACACAAGTCCATCCAGCTTTTATTAATATGATATTCTAATATCGATCTAGCTTATGCAGTGCGCAATAAGTGTCTCATTCTAGCCACCGGGTAACATTAAAACAACTTTCAACACACTCAAATGTAATTTTTTTGTATGATTGTTTAACCTAATGCTTATTATTGGACGCTCCTTTCATTTTGTTGTTTATGTATATTTTACGATTACACAATACAGATTGTCACTATCCACGATACATATTTGAACCAAAGACAGTCTCAAAAACACGGTTTGAAATCGCTGGTGTTTCTGACGTCACAAACTATCTTGTAACCAATCAGGTCAACGTGTGATCGTCAGCGAGTGGATGTCAGAGCTGGTGTGAGTGAGTGGAGGCGGGGTTCATTTGCATATTCATAGGACCGTGTTGGACATGGAGGTGTATTAGCAGAATACTTGAATTTCTATCCCAATTTTGAAACATATATATATATAAAACAAAAAAAAAATGTTTATATATTAAAACATAATGTGGCGATTATTTTAATTAAATTAATAAAATACTTTCCAAGTAATTGGTATTTCTAATTGGAACTTGATGGAAATAAAGCAATATTTTTTTTTATTCATAAAAAATGCATGATAAATCTGGCATAAGTGCAAAAACAGCTTCATATTATATTAAAAACACCCAAAACAGGAGGTTTTTTTTGTACAAAACTGCCTAAATACAACAGTCTGCATTATATATTCACAGTCATACCACCTAGCTTAGTGTCAATTTGTTGCTATATGAATATAAATGCAGAAAACACACACACACACACACACACAAATAATCAAATTGAATTTACAATAGCTACTAGGCATAGTTATATTAATTTTTTAGATGCATTGGATGGTCTGGACTCACCAGGTCCATTTTTTTTTCAAAGCTGCTGACTGACTCTGAAAGCTAATAAACGGTGCATCCAAATTGATACATTTGTATAAAAGGTTTTGCTGTTTTTTTTATCTTCATTTTTTCAATTTCTCACATAATGCATTGATTAATTCAGTAAAATCAAACACAACATGTTGTGATCTCCTTTCTTAAATATGGAATTATTTTTGTGCCGATAAAAATGAACGTAACTTTTCAAGAAATTAATGAATATATAAATTGAAACTGAATAAAATATCTTTGAAACTGAAAAAGAATGAATCGCAGGCAATTTTTTTGACTTTGTTTTTAATATACACTGCATGTTTTGCTAACTATTCCTCATATTTCTTTTACTGATCTTAACTTACAAATGCGCTTCAAGAGTTTTCATTTACACTTCTGAAGTTTTCGTTTGGTTCTGAAGTTTTCATTTACGCTTCTGAAGTTTTCGTTTACGCTCCCTGAGTTTTCGTTCGCTGTTCTGACACAATTCTCTCGTGGGGGCGGGGCTAGTAGCAGTGTGTTTTCATTGGCTACTGAGTTTTTGATTGACAGCTTCTTGACCTGGAAGTGAAGACGTCAGTGTTGTGTTTACATGTGTGGATGTGAACGTCTGTAAGCGCAGCTTTCTATTTCATTTAGGTGATATTAAGTTTATATCTGTATTTATTTACTGCTACACTATATTGTTGAGATGATTTCTTATAGAAGGAATAGTACAGACGAATGATATAATTTGTCATCGTCGATATCAGAATACTGGATAGCCTAACAGTTACTCGTGGTAAGTCAGATTTTTTTTTATTAATTAATACTAAACTAATACTATTTATAATACAGTACTTGCTTTTTCAGGTGGAGAGGCATATTAGAGCTCAGTGAGAGCCCATAACATTATACAGCAGTGTCGTCTTGATTTAATTGGTAAGTTAGCCCAATCATTACATGACTTGTTTATCTAACGTTACATACGGTTACATTACAGTCTTCGATTAGATCATATTTCCCCCCTGCCACCCCAAACAACATTGGGCTATACTGTACAGTATCTGAACTGTAGCCTACAGTACAAAAAGTACTGTATCAGACAATGACCGATGCCATTGGACCAGAGCGCTGTCAATCACTGCCCGATTCATCTTTGGTAATGTAAAGCCAATTGCTGAGTAATTTGCGATGCAGAGTTTTTAAAAGAGTAGAGACAGGACTTGACCACATTTCACGTCTCTATTCATAATATGTAAACACTCAATTATTTTGAAGTATCACCCTGCGCAATATTTATTCTGCAAAATGCAACAAAATGCTTTTTCTGTGTCCATATTTGAGCAATAATAACGCAACAAAAAAAAAACATTTCGGAGAAAAATGTTGAATTTTTAATAGTCTTTAATAATAAATATATGTCCAAATGCAAAACCTAATACATGCAAGTAATTATGACTGAAAACATCCAGCAACTAGGGAATACACAGCCATGGATAAATGTTTATAGGGCTATACAGCCATCTACTGGTTACACAACAGTATTACAGATGATAAATGGTGCATGACTCGGAGGTAAATATTTAGTACTGTAAAATCCCTTAGAACATTTATATAGTTTGTTTGAAATAATTATTTTAAGTCTGCAACTTGTTACTGCATGTGGGAGTTCAAAGCAGTTTGTATTGTTAGATTATAATACATTTCCTTTCTCATTTTCCAGGGAGTTGAGCAACTTTTCCATAAACAAAATTCTAATGCTGACACAGAGGATGGAGTTATAATACCAGAGATCAACTGTCTCCATCAGACAATAATGTTACTTTGTTCAGACATATCACCTTTGAATGACTGGGATCCTGATCTTCAGACACCTGATGTATTTTATTTTAATATTATAAAATAGCAAATATTTTAATTTCTTTGGAGCTCTAGATTAAAACAAACACAGTTTACAAGTACACAAGAGGTTGCAGTTTATCCTTATTAGTCTATGCTGATCATGGATTAGCATACCAACAGCATATGAATGGGATAGTTCACCCAAAAATAAAATTCTCACTTATTTTACTCACCCTCATGCTGTCCCAGATGCATTTTACTTTCTTTCTACAGATAAATACGAATTAAGATTTTAAGGAAAGTAATCCATCTCTGCGAGTCCTAAAGATGCTTTAAAAACCACACACAGTGTGGTGTCCATGCGACCTCAGTGGATGAATCAATGCCTTCTGAAGTGAAACAATAGGATAAGAAAAATACTAATAATGTAATCTGTTTTAACTATTAAAAATCACTTCCGACAAACTGTCATACATGGGTTGCAATCCACTTGTCTTATATGGACTCACAGAGATGGATTATTTCCTTAAAAATCTTTGTAATTATGCATTTTGTATGTATATTATGAGAATACTGTGCATTACATGTATAGTATGCAGTTAATGTTTTGTGGCTTCTGGTCTTTCCTGTCACAACATAATCGCATCCAAGACTTTCACTTTGATACTTGTGTATATGCTGTAGTGACAATAAAGAATGTAAATTTATTTGATTTTTTATTTAAATTCATTTAACTGATTTTATAAGTCATAATTGAACCTGTTGATGATTGTTCAAATAAATTTACAATTTTAAATGTTAGAAGATAATATTAACTAAATGAAATAAATAAAATTATCAGCATGATTAAAAAAATGGCAACAAAAATATTCTTTGTGTGAATATGTAATGAAATGCCCTTTGAGGTCTGCCACGATTGTAATTTTCATAGTTTAAATTCCTCTTATTTAAGTGATCATACATTTTGATAGTGTAAATGCATATGGTAACAATGAGAAATTTGATGGCCATGGTTGCCAACCTTGATTACCTGGTTGAAGTGAAACTTTCTTGACGGCTGAATATATCACACACGTATACTAGTAGGCTATTCTCTTTAAATTGTAATAGCACAACCTAATCAGAGCCTAACATGCAAAAGAATCATCAGGAATAAACAAATATTCTCCTAAAACATTGGACACAATATTTTAAGTAGGCATATACAGTAGGCTTACTTTGATGTACAATTACACCTGAATAGACTGAAGAGATCTCTTGCGCTCCTAAAAGTTTCTGTTGACAAAGTAGTAGCAGCAGCAGGTAAATACAGATAAAATTCAAAAACAAACATAACTTAATATCACCTAAATGAAATAGAAAGCTGCGCTTACAGGCGCTCACATCCACACAAGTAAACGCAACACTGACGTCTTCACTTTAGTGATGTGACATCTGAAGCGAGGCTCCGGAGCTTGTGTCGAGCAAAAAGGGGCGTTCCAGATGAAGCCCCGATTCGAGGCTTGTGTCGTTTCCGTGAAAATCACGTGACGATAACAAACGAGGCCTCGGATTGTGTTGAATACGTCATTGCTTCATTCTGAGTATCGCTTCCGGATAAAAGTGGTTCGAAACCTCGCGCCTCTCGTGGGTTTTGCAGTAGTGATGGGAAGTTCGGTTCTTTTCCGCGAACCGGTTCTTTCGGACAGTTCGTTTCAATGAACCGGTTCAAAAAACCGGTTCACCAGTTCTTTTACGTCCTCGCGTAATGACGTCAATTATATCATCCCGGCGGATAAAAATACTTTAAATTAAAGGCATTTGTATTCATAACTTCACTTAAATAATAGTACTCATCGTCATAATCCTCTTGGATAAGTTTCTTACATTTACATTTTGCAAACGAACCAGCCTACAGGCGATGTGCAAACGCGGATGTTTAACATGTCTTAAATATATAAAGTGCATAAGTGGTCTTCATCATTTTATTTGTAATAAACTTACATTTCGCCGAATTCGGCCCCTCATTTAAGTCCTCGGTTCACCCGTGCTGCGTGCTCATCAGCACATCATCAGTTGGCCGAAAGAAAGTTCTGTTCAGAGACGGTGCTATCACGCATGCTCAGTATCTCCAGCTCATCGGTTCTCCGTATCGAACGTGTCCGAAAGAAACAGTTCTCGGTTCTGTACTGGTGATTCAAGAACTGCAACAACCAGTTCTTGACTCGAGAACCGTAGCATAGGCCTGTGTGCTGAGCTGAGAACTGCTGAAACCTGAATATACAGTCGACAAAACTAAAAAAATCGATGCATGTCTTTCTTCTCCAATATGTTTAATACGTTATGTTTTAACACATTATAAACATTTACTAAGCAGTACTGTGCAGTGTGCACCATTAAAACTTTGGCAATAGTTTACATCAAATATTTATATCAACTTACTTAGAAATTAAATGAGCTGTTCCTGAAAATATTATTTTAATAAATGTTTAGTTTGACAGTGTTACAATCCATTCATTGTGTTTCCAAACTTTAAAATAATACAGTGATAATACAGTAATTATGTGATAAACATGTTTCCAACATGTTTTTTTTATTACACTTACTGATGTTCAACTAAATAAATACTTAAGAAACGTAAATTTCGTCCCTCAGAAAAAAAATTGCACGCATGCTCAGCTTATCGATCAGTTGTTCTCATTATGTCAAACGTGTTCGAAAGAAACAGTTCTCGGTTCTGTACTGGTGATCCGATAACCGCTGTACATGTGCGTTCGGTAGTACGCGCATGCGCAGTATCAGCTCGTGCTCATCACTTCTCTCAAAAACAACACGTTTCAAACTGTTGGATTTACTGGAGTGAAATATACTCCGGGATATTGGTTTATTTCGAGTCAGAGGGACTGTCAGGCATGTCTGAAAGTGAGTAACTTTAGTAACTTGTGTATCAGCACTGACGCAAGACGCGAACTGTTTCGAACGATTCAGTCCGATTTAGTGTACTGGTTCGACCGGTTCACTAAAAAGAACCGGTTCAAAAGAACGATTCGTTCACGAACCGGCCATCACTATTTTGCAGTAGGCGTTTGCATTGGTGTTGAAGTGTTGGTTGTACGAAGTAGTGAGTAGCGAGTTGTAGCGAGTTTGTAGTAGCATAGTTATCATTATATATCATAGCCTGTATTATATATTATATTACATTATACTTAGTTTAGTAGATTATTAGATTATTAGAGTAAAGTATACATAGTTCAGTAGATTATTAGAGTAAATTAGCCTATATCTAGTTCTAGTTGCTATATATATATACATATATTGGTAGTAGTGTTATTATTGTATATATATATATAATATATATATATATATATATATATATATATATATATATATATATATATATATATATTATTGCTATTATTATTATTCTAAGACTAGACTGTAGGGAAAGCCTTAGAGGGCAAACGTTAAAGGCAAACCTAGAGCCCTTACAATGGAGCCAGCAAGAAAGAGGAGAACTTCTCCTGTCTGGGAGCATTTTGAATTGATTGCTCATAACAAGGTTTGTATACATTTATATAATTTATTATCATAACATCACATAATCCTCACCATATCGCTGTATAATCACAATGTGTATTATCTGCATGTTGAAGGTGAAAAGTTTGCTGTTCCACTCCCAGTTCCATAAGCACTACATAATTGTACTCCCAGTTCCATAATCACTACACTATTGCACTCAGTCAGCACTGCACTCAGTGATTTCTTGACACTCATTTGGGCCATTCACTGTCATCACTAACCCAAAGAACTACTGAATACAAAGTTATGTGTGTGTGAGTTGTGTGTGCATAGGTAAACACAAGCAGAGTAAAAAACTTTATTTAATACACAGGCAATAGAAAAAGGGTGTGCCCACACCATGACAATTTGGTTGCTCAGGATGAATAGATTTGTGTGCGATACATTGCTTTGCACAGCAGGTGTCACTAGGGAGCACACTGTTTCATGAGGCTTCAGGTAAACGAACCTTTTGGTGAACCAATGGGCTGGAAAGCCTCAGTGGTTCAGGAAGCCTCATTTGGCCATCACTACTTCACTTCCAGGTCAAGAAGCTGTCAATCAAAAACGCAGTAGCCAATGAGAACACACTGCTACTAGCCCCGCCCCCACGAGAGAATTGTGTCAGAACAGCGAACGAAAACTCAGGGAGCGTAAACGAAAACTTCAGAAGCGTAAATGAAAACTTCAGAAGCAAACGAAAATTTCAGAAGTGTAAATGAAAACTCTTGAAGCGCATTTGTAAGTTTAGATCAGTAAAAGAAATATGAGGAATAGTTAGCAAAACATGCAGTGTATTAAAAACAAAGTCAAAAAAATTGCCTGCGATTCATTCTTTTTCAGTTTCAAAGATATTTTATTCAGTTTCAATTTATATTTTCATTGATTTCTTGAAAAGTTACGTTCATTTTTATCGGCACTAAAATAATTCCATACTTAAACAGGCAAAACTTCATCCGACAACATCGCTGCATCTCATATAAACAACACGCACTAGTAAAAATGAACAACAACGCAGAAGAAGAGCATGACTGTGTTCCAAGGGAACTAATGCATCCAACTGAGTCATTCTGACAGCCAGATCTTCGATTTTCATGGGTTACGTATATGTTTATGACTCAACAAAAACAAACACAGAGCACTGTGACACGCACAGAGCATACAATGCTCCCATGATGCACTGGGGCCAGAGAGAATGCATGCTTTAGCAATTGAAAAAATTGCTCTGGCAATGCCCGTCGGACATGCCATGTACATTTTCCAAAAAGCAATGCATTTCAGGTCAAATGATGTTCATAAGACAAACCAACAGGATTATAAGTCAATGAGTTTAAGCCGCATGAATCTTTTGATCATTTCATGCTTCTGGTAATGAGAGTTTACATCATGCGAACACAGCGCGAGAGAAAAAACAGTCTGTTTCAGCAAACTTTTTGGTGCTGTGCTTGGACGCAGACATCAAAGATTTCTCGCTCCTTTCATACTGAGTGCTTAGTTTGGAGGAAACTTCTGGCTTTGTTCTAGATTGATTGGATTAGATGGAGAACCTTGTGAACTCCTCCATCATGATGCTGCTCTCATAGCAGCTAATTTTAGATGGATCCCCTTGGCTTTCTTCTTTCCCTTCCTGTTTTTTCTCTCTCCCGTATGAAGGCCAAATGAAGTGTCAAGGTGACTTTTATTTTAAGCAAGCAGGCGTCACTTCAATAAACCAAATATGCTAAAAAGACCTTTTAATGCTTTATTCACATGTGATTAAGCAAAATGAATCTCACTTGGGATCAAACAATCTAGGTGAAACTCATTAAACATATCAAGAACATGATCATATTTTACCCCCAAATCAAAAGGAATAAAAAATAAAATAAAAAAAGAAGCCTGACCATGATCATTAAGTCTCTTTGCATTACATGCACAATACCTGACGTATAATGTACATTATTGTAGTGTTTGTTGTACTGCCATTAATTTATTATGATTTAAATAAAAAGGTATTATAGTACATGAGAATCACCATTTCCATTCACTAATCACCATCAAGAACCATAGGATTTACTTTTTTTTTTTTTTTATAAAAATAAAATCAGTACAATGTCCATCAGAGACATGACACAGTGGGGCTGAAATGAAATAAAAGAAAATGCTACAGTAAAATAAAACAATTTAACTT